TTTTTTTTTTTTTTTTTTTTTAAGAAGTTGAGCAGATTTGAACATTCTTTATATTGCAGAGGAAAAACTAACTTCTTCGAGAGACGGGTGGGCGATTATCAGAAGGCCTCGGTCATGTCGAATTTGCAAGACAGTTGCGAAAACTACACGTTCAAAATGGACGAGGACTTCTAGTTCTTTCCCTTTTTTGTTATTCTATTGATGCCTGATTTTTTTTTTAAAAAAATATTTTGGGAACATTTTATTGTAGTATAATATGTAAAATTTGCAGTGACCTGAGAAATTATAATAGGACAAACCTCTCATTCAGCTTCTAGTTACTGGTGTTAAATCAAATTGTACCCCATATGCTACTTTTTGCTTTACCAAAGTCACATCAAATACAATCAGGTTTAATGTGATAATAGGAATAAAAATTCAGTTTTATACAAAATTTTCCTCATTTTCTATCATTTGTTTAGAGTTATATATTAAATGCAAAAAAAGCTAAATATTAATACACTGAAAAAATGTCATATTTTTCTTTATAATATATTAAGCCTCATATTTCAATAAGAAAGTACACATTCAAAGGTAAAACATTGGTCTTCACTGTTGTCCAATATTGAAGCTCATTAAACACAAAGAGCCACAACACAACATAAATACCTTACATTTAATTTAACATTCAAAAAAGTAACACAAAGTCTAGGAAAACTTATCAATTTAGTCCTATTCTGCATAAATTTTCTAAGGGCTCAGCTTCAAGTTCTTGCAGTTGAGCCGACACTGAGGCAATGTTTAACTCTGGAAAAGATAAGTGTTGCTGCTAAATATACAGTAATTTCAATAAGAAATTAAGACTAAAAGAAGAAATTACTCTAATAACGCTCTCCAAGTGACGAGTCCAGCATGGCTAGCGAACACCCGTAAGAGCCAAATTCCTGAAGTTAAACATCACAGAAAGAGTTAACTTTATAGGCAATAGGCTATTAAACAAGAAGTGAACTGACTGATAAAAGAAAAAAGAAGCCATATTCCATATCGTCTATCAAGTGTCGATTTTATACACAAGTAGCCCAAAGCAATAGAGCAGGATTTGAATCTCACAGCTTTTACATATTTCCATATTTCAAAGGCATCTAGGAATAATTGTAGATGGTCTTCATTTTGTTGTAAGAATGTTAATACAACGATGCAGAAACATTTCTTTCTGATCTATTACACACAACATAAAAGCACAAAATACCAAATGGTCATGTGTTCAAAGAAAGGAATAGGCTTCCACAGTATAAAATACCTCTCTAACATCCTAATCGAACCAGATAACAAACAGTAGAATTAGAAAGTATATCGAGAAGAACACTAGAGTTAAATAGAAACAGGAAAGAAAGCCTTGAATGCAAACAATTTTCAGTTTATCGAACTAAATATTGCTCAAAAGACAATGACAACTTCTTACTTCGTGCAAGGTTAGCAAACTAAAACCTCAAAAAATTACATATGATTAGCAATGTAACATGGGATCGCATGTTGCCCTTCGAGAAATTAGTGGAGACAAAATCTTTAACAGATTCATAGTAAAACAATAAAAGATCAAGAAATAATTAGTTGGTTAACATAATACCCAGAAACTACGAATCCATGAAAAAGAAAAAACAGAAACCCCAAACCCTATATGCATCGAGCAAGTACCATGTTCATATAGTTTGATGCCAAAAGAAAAGGAAAATAACCAAATTCTCATCATTAGCCACTAGCTAGAAACACACTAGTGAAATCCATGGCATACACCAACCAGCTTACGAGACAAACTCAGCTACACAAGATGTCCATCAAGAATTGCAATCATGTGCCAAGCAGAAGGTTGTAAAATTTTCAATCGAAACTCGAAATTTAATAAAACAGTTCTGCACATAAATTCCTACCATCATATCAAAATGCAAAACCTGGCACCAAATCACTGAAAAGGGACAGCAAAATTCACAGAAAGCACCAAATTCTCATCATTAGCCACTGGCAAAGAAACACACTGGTGAAATCCATGGCATACACCAACAAGCTTAAGAGACAAACTTAACAACACCAAAGTACCCATCAGAAACTGCTATCACATGCAAGCAGAAGGTTGTAAAATTTTCAATCAAAAATTCAAACTCGACCAAGATCCTAAAGAATTCTGCACTTAAATTCCTACCATCATATCAAAATGTAGCAAAACCAGCACTAAATTACGAAAAAAGAACAGCAAAGTTGCAATCAAGAATGCAACAATCCAAGCCAAAATCTCACAAGCCCAACTCACTTCTTGTGACGCCGTCCACGTTTAGTGGGCCCCCTCCCCTCGAGCTTCGACACCGGGCACCCGCACCTCAGGCAGAAGAGCAGCACGGCCCGCCCGTTGGGCGGCGCCATTTTCCGCAGCTCGACCCGCAGGCACTCATAGTCCGGGTTATCCTCGCTGCCCCCTTTCCACGGCAGCGCGTTCACATCCCTCACGGCTTTGCTCCTCTCCCCCAACACCAGCAGCTCCTCCCCCTGCAGCTGCAAATCGAACTCGATCGACCTGTTCAGGCCCCTGCACCCGCTCCGCCCGCACCTCCGCGGCCGACGGCCGCAGCAAATCTCGAGGGCGGCGGCGAAGGCGGCCAGGGAGAGGAGGAAGAGGGCGGGGAGGAGGAGGTTGGGTTGGGGCGGGTAGGAGATCAGGTGGCGGCAGGATTGGGCGATTAGGGCTGAGAAAGGAGGTAGGAGGAGGGAGAGGGATCGGAGGAGGTAGGAGAGGTAGGAGGCGACGAGGAAGGCGCCGGAGAAGAGGACGAGAAAGAAGATGAGGAGGTCGAGGGTGGCGGAGGGTGATTGCCGGCAGAGGGAGGGGCAACTCGGGGGATGCGACGGGGGGTGGAGGGGTTTGGCGGCAGCAGCGGCGGCAGGTTTTCGGAGGGAGGAGGAAGGGGGCATGGCAATGGTGGAGGAGAGGAGGTGAGGACGCATTTTAGTGGGGGCGATGGTGGCGGATAGGCAGACGGCGACGGAAATGGGCGTATTTCAGGGGTGAAGTGAGCGGGGGAAGTGCGCAGGTTAGCAATGTTGGGAGGGGGTGCGGCGATGCGCACGTTAGGATTGGTCACCCCAAAATTGCCAATAGCGTGGAGGTGGCCAGTCAACGGCCGTGGCCCGGCCCAGCCCAGCCCGCCGGGCCACGGCCCTCCAATACATGGCCCGCGACCGGCCGGCTAAGAACCAAGGGCCGGTTCACCGACCCGGCGATTCACGAGCCATCCTTAAAAAAAAAAAAATAAATAACAATGTGGCTCACTGTCCGACCCACGCCCGACCCAGTCCGGCAGGACCAAAATAAAAAAAATAGAACTTGGACTGAACCGCGACCTTAAGAATCCGGTTCAACAGACCGGCCCTTAAAAGGCCGGTTCAACGGACCGGCCCTTAAAAGGCCGGTTCAGGGCCGGGTCACGGGCCGGACCGATGCCGGTTTGTGAGCCGGACCGGTGTTGGTTCGCTGGCCGGTTCGACCCGTGAACATGTCTACAATAGCGTTTTGTTTTTTTATTTTATTTTATTTTAGGCTTATGTGGGAGTGGTACAAGAATGGAATGGTTATTTCCTTACTCTTTCTCATTTCCATAATTGCCAATATGATTGGTTTTGTCTTTTTTTTTTTTTTGTTTATTTTTTTTAATTGGGGCATAGCTTTCAATGACATTTTCGTCAATTTTCATCTCGTCCATGTCTAATTCTTTTTCTTCCACAAAATTAGAATCTTGGTTGGGTTTTTCTTTTTGCGAAAGTGTTGGACTTCTTCATCCGTCATGTTCGCTTCTTTGTCGGTTAGATTTCGTTGATGTTGGCAGAAGTGTTTGCATCGACCTTTTCTTTGCCACATTATTTTTGCAATTTTTTGGACACACCTTTATCGAATTAAAGCTTCTTTTGCACAAGATTTCAGTCAAGTTTAGGTTTAATATTATGAGACGGAAATTGTATATCTACTTATATGTTATATACATAGTTACCAGTTATAAATCAAACATAATCTAGTCTAAACAATGAAAATAAAGATAAAATTAAATAAATTAAGAGAAATTTCTAATTCACGGTGCCGTCTCCTCGCTCGACTAGTCTAACTAAATGTGATGTCAAGATTCACTATTTTTCGAAATTACTAGCCCTAGATAGCAACACACTTTGCTACCCAAAATTTTCTTTACTGTTTATTTAGTCGAGAGACGCTTCTTCAGTTAGATCTGACTTATTGGACAGTTTAGAATCGCTCTCTAGATTTAATGCAATAGCCGCTTTAGGTAGAATTAAAATAGGCTAGTCTAATTAGTAAACAAAACTGCACGGTTCGCTTAATTAGCACGTGATATCCCTGATAGTTACCGGCTTTCAGTTGCTACTTATGATTTAAATTCAACAACAATTATGAATTGCAAGTTTAATTATAGCATTGGACATGAAAATCTTATGCAGGTTATCAATTTAAATAAAATCAAACACATCATGATTGATCCAACAAAAATAACAGAAACAATTTTGTTAAAATAGCAAAATAATCAATCACCGTCATTAAATAAACATAGTCAAGTACGTAGGATTCGACATTCTCAGAACTAGAAATAAAAATCTACTACAACGTAATAAGTAAAAAGAAAAAGAGAAGAATAAAATTATCCTCCTAGAGTATGGGTGCGGTCCTACGCAATTTATCGGGTTCTCGCGTAGTGCTGTAGACGAACCGAACCGAACCGAGCTTGGACTGTTCAAGCTCGTGTTCGTTTACGTTCGAACAGTTTTCGTGTTCGTTCGTTTAATTTGCGAGCAAAAAATTCGAGTTCATTTGTTTAATTGTTCGTCAAAGTTCGAGTTCGTTCGTATTCGAATAATTTAATATATAAACTTTTTAAATATGTTTGATTGACTCCAACTTTGGGCGTTCGAACTCGTTCGAACTCGAAAATAACAATAAAATAAAAATATTTTTATATTTTAGATTTTTTTATTTAAAAATATTTATAAATATATAAAAAATTAAAATAAAACTACATTATCCTAATGTCGAACATAATCGAACGTGCACGAACGAGCTCGTGTTCATTCGATTATAAAATGAGCCTAATTTTCTGTTTGAACTCGGCTCGATTAACAAACGAACGAGCTTTTGTCGAACACGAACGAGTTTTTTTCGCGATCGTTCGATTCGCTTACAGCTCTATTCTAGCGTATGCTTCTGTTTCATATTCTTTCCTTTCCTCTGTATTAGGTTAGTTGCGTGGTTAATATCCGTTAGAGCCTACGTGTTTCCCCCCAATAAATCCTTAGGTGGCTGCCTATTTAATTCGTTCCCAGGCTGCGTGAATTATTTTTACCTAAATTAAATCCTCCCAAGACTTATGGTTGCTCGAAATAAAGACATCCCTTGTCTATTTTAAAAATGTATGTACGTTAATGCATTGGCATATTATTAAGACAAATAGACTTCTTTTGATTCCTTTTTAATCCTTTTGAAACACTAGTAAAAAGTATTTCTAACTGATTTCTTAACCGTTCCCACCTTTCTCTGCCATCTTCTCTCCTATTTTTTCTCTTTCTTCTATCCTTTAAAAACGTTTCTTATTCTTCTTCTTCGCTTCTTTTTTTTTTCTTCTCTCCTTTTCTTCTCTCGAAATATCTCACTTTTACAGAAAATTATCGCAAAATTTAAATAAAAATTCATTGCTTCATGACCCAACGTTTTTCTCGATGGTGCGAACGAGACAGAAAAACTAAAAGTTCTTCGAAGTGATTTTCCGACAAAAGAAAAGGTCTTCAGGCAATTCTTTGCGGTGATTATCTAAGCATCCACCGAAGAACTAGAAATTTTATTTTGAGTAAGTTTCAAATTCACTTTAACGTGTTTATATTTTTATCGTGTTTGGAGCTTCATCTTTTTGAAGTTGTGCAATCTGTCTATTCATTTAAATTTTAGGTTACAAGATGAATATGCTTCTTCTATTTTCTTACTAAACAGAAAATAATAATTAGAATAGTTTGATATATATTGAATTAAATTCTTTGATATGTACTTATAGAAATGTTTCTTCTCTTTTCTTATTAGAATAGTTTGAGATGTAGGCTGTTTATGGGGCAAGCACAAATATGGGAGACTAAAATTTCTCAAAATTGTTGTTGTTTCCTTTATGTTGCTTAATTGTTGTTGTATTATTTTTTTGTTGTTCATTTGACGTTGCTTTATAATTAATTGAATTATTATGTATTTTTATAATTAATTGACTAATCTTTTTTTTTAAGACATTAAGGTTTGAAGAAGAAGAAAAAAGGTGAAGACAGAAAAAAAAAGGTGAAAGGAGAATAAAAAAGAGGAAGAGATAAAGAAGAAGAAAACGAAAAAGATAGAAGAAAGAAGAAGAAAACGAAGAAGATAGAGAAAAAATAGGGAGAAAGAGATAGAGTACCCGTATTTTGGGCCAAAATATTATGGGCCAAAATTGGACTGGTATGGAGCACCCGTATTCTGCCGGCTGGAACTTCCATTTAATGTCTCGTCATCCATAAATGAACTCCAATAATTTGAAAATAAATCATACAAATATCGTAGCACTTGAATCTATCTAAAAAATAAATAAGTCAAAAAACACACAAGTGTGATAAAATTAAATATATAAAACTACGCTAAGAAATATATAAAATACACATTTTTTTCCGACCAATGACCAAACATCACGATTGTGAGTATATTTTATGTAAATAAAAATGCAACGTATTTTTGTGAATATAAACGCAATATATGCTGAAGATATTCTTTGACCAGTGAAATTTATCGGCCATCCACCTTCTCTCCCCATCGCCGCCATCTTCTCGAAGACATCGCCTCTCGACCATCAATTCCTACTCAAACGTCATTGCCATCTATTCCTCCCTCCTCTCGCCTCCGCCAAACTCGTTGGCTTCAAGAAGGGCGAGAAACCAACCGACCTGGACCGTTTCAAGCCTTAGCTCGCAAGCCAAATCCTCCACCTCCAACGTCGTCACCCTCGTCGGCTGAGCCGAGGCTAAAACTGATCAGGCTATCGTGCGTGACCCAAACGATGCCGCTTTGCACACATCCTGACGGTCCTCGCGCTCGATCTGCAAAGTCTCTGGACCTCCTCCCTTGGCTCGCTCGACGCGCCAGTGTCTCCCCGCCAGCGGTGAGGTCACTGAGCGACGACGAGAGGTGGAATGCTCTGTTCAAGAGGGTGGAACTTTGGGTGGCATCGGACGACAGAAGGGTGGTGGAAGATCTGGTGGAATCGTTGAGAGTGAGGGATGCTCCATATTTTTTTTCTTATTGTATCTTTCTTCATCTCCTCTTGAATCCTGTGCATGCTCAGATTGGCGTATTATCGACTATAGATATCATAATTAAGCTAATTTTTTTTCATGATTCGTATATGTGAAAATCTTTTCAAATCAAACATGTGTAAATTGGCCCATTTCTTTTGCCTATGAAACGTGACATAAGCAAATTACTCACAAAGCCCAAATGACTCTAACATATGTTCACTTTGCTTGTGTGTGTCCAAATTCCAATTAGATCATGCACTTTTAGAGAACGAAACTAAATCATAAAAACTTCATAAATTTAAAAAGATATGGCCAGGCCAACCAGCTCAGAACCTCTCGTTTTACTTCAACACAATCAATTCCAAACTCTCAACTTGTTCGACTTCGAACCGATATGTTCTATTGACAAACAAAGCCAATTTCGAGTTTGACAGTTAAGAATCGGAAATCGTTGGCTAAATGGTGATGGTCAACTACTTCATGTAATCACTAATTTTGAAATTTCAAATGTAATGGGCTCTAACCCGACGATTTGTAGTCGTAATGAGAACCGTTAATTTGAAGTCCGTTTTTAAATTTGAAGTTTTAATAGGAGTTCGGGGATTATGTGCAAGCTTCATCGTGAAAGATGAGTTGGATTTGATTTGTTTAGAATTCATCATTTTTTTGTTCTCCAATTCGAACCAATTGCACGTGAAATTTGGTGGGGAGACCGGTCCGAGTAGACACTTCAGACCGGTTAACAACTTACTTAGGCATTGTCCATGAACGACGTACACAATAATCAATTAAAAAAAATAGCAAAAAAATCTAGCTTGTGTATATAATATATCATAGTCTAGTAATGTTACTTGGGCATTGTCCATAAACAACTAGCTAAAATATTGTACACATAAGATGTAACATTATTGACTATCCTACACTAATCAAGGTCACAATTATCCAGATATAGCGGTTAAACAATATGTATAATTTCGAATTTAAATTTCATACACAAAAAGTAATATAAACGAAAGTATGACATTTCATAACTATGACATCAATTTGCCTGACGATTAGGTGATTCCATTCTTTTCCACTTTCCGAGCCTCACCGCCTCCATTGTTTTTCCCGGGTTTGCGCAAGCAAATTAGCAGAAAACAAGCCCTTATTTATCAGAACAATTCCTAACAAGAACTGTCACAAGAAGTTTAAAATCAGTCAACTTCTGTCTGAAATTAAAGACATGCATAATTCAGAGTTTGTAGGGACAGTTAACAGTATTTGTAGCCTAAAAATCCACCCGGCACCACCATGTGCACACGAACTCGGATTGCATAGTATATATGTATGTACATAACATGACATTAAATTGCAATAATTTGCCAACCGTGTGTGTAATTAATAGTACTATGACTATCCATTGTTTTTTTTTTTTTTTTTTTT